AGAATATGTAGAGATACTGCTTGCAAACCAATGATGGTAAGATGATGTTATGGGGTAGGACTGGATAAGTCTGACTTCTTCCTACTCCATTCAAGCATGTACTAGGTATAAGCAAATTGATATTGGATTAGCATTTGTTGGATATGGATATGTGTAAAATTAGGTGTGTTGACATATCAACTGTCTTTACATGCTTGAAAGAATAAATCAAAAATCAAATCAACAAACAAACAAAAAATACTGTCACAGTCTCTCTCTCACACACTATTTGACCCTGTCCACTCTCACTACTCCTTTTCACCACAGTATCGTAGGCCTGTACATGTCAGTGGTTCTGGTCATCGGAAAGTTTGTCAGGGAATTCTTCAATGGGATCTCCAGGTCCATCATGTTTGAAGAGCTGCCGTGCGTGGACCGAGTCCTGAAGCTCTGCACAGACATTTTTGTGGTCCGGGAAACGGGAGAGATGGAGCTGGAGGAGACCCTGTTTGAGAAACTCATCTTCCTCTATCGATCACCAGAGACCATGATCAAGATGACCAGAGAGAAGAAAGACAGCTAGGGTTCAGCCGCATACCCTGTTGGTACGGTACACGTTGAGATGCATCCACACTGAACTCCCATCACTCAAAATGGATGTACTAGAGCAAATAAAACTTGTGAAGTAAACAGTAATTTCAACATAATTGCAATTAGAACTGGATTTGAAGGAGATGGAGGGTGAACTTGTCATTAGAAATGATCCAGTAGCAATTATGAACCCTGCTGCCTGTGATAGATTATGAACTATATTTAGACCCTCCTACTCATCTTTACCTTTAACTTTCACAATCAGGGTAATCTAGTTTTTTTTCTGAAGTGAATCTACAGATCATGACTTACATAGGATGAATTTATAATACAGTTTTAATGCTAAAACAAAACAATGTCATACTGACCAGAACACTCCCCAATTTGTTATAGACTGAATTTGATTTTAAAGAAGTCATTAATATAAAGAAGACACACAACCCTCAAACCAATTAATCTCTACTCTAGTTCATTGACTTAAGTGCCTGTCAGTTATTTGCCGTAATCTATTCAGTTCTCTGCCCACTGGGCAATGCATGCATTTCTATTGGTTTTGGATTAAAGTTTTTACTGGTGTAAATCCCCTGAAAACATATTCCTGACTTTGATTCTTAACAGTGAAATTTCAGCAAACCCATGATATACTTATGGATCAACACATACCTCTGTAAATAACATGTTTCTGTATATGACTATGAAGACTATTGCACTGATTCATTTATATCAAAATAAAAATTATTAGACAAAAAATGTTTGTGTTTCAGTCTGCAATGCTGTGAATACATCATTCACCAACAAGATGAGAACAAAGGCAAATGTATTTCTGATATTCATCTTTAATACAATTTTATTACAAATGATGAAAGGGAAAACAATTTAATTCAGATCCCCAGTCTAGCAGGTTGTCCTGATGTCACCCATTCTTTCTTCACTATGTTGTGTGGTACGAGACACTGACAGGACCCCATAACTCCAAGAAAACTACCTACATTATGGTCTCACATCCTGGAGAGAAAACAGAGCAGAGAGGTACAAACAAAATAAAAATCCTCATGAAAATTTATTTTTAGAGAACATAAGAACTTCTCATACCAGTCACTGCAGGTTTAGGGTTATCCTACTCTGATGGCAAACATCAACCCATAAAATGAATCTGAATGATAAGGTTTGAAAGAAAAGGTCCCACTTTCCCAGAAACGTGCAGATACTTTCAGTGCAATATGTAAACATAGCCTCCCTGACCTCAAAGTAATGATCAGGCATATGACCGACAAAGTTTGTTGCAACTTTCACATGCCTTCTGTTGTGTCCTGATGCCTAAATGTTGTAATTATTTTTAACGTGCACACAGTTTCTATTCAATGCCATAGAAGTCTGTCAGTGAAATACACAAGACTGTCAGGGGACATGCTCATTTTATATGGTCGGTTTCTTCCAAATGTTAGTAACCTATTTAATAAAAAAAAAAAGACTTACGCTATGTTGGTGTTTTGGGTTTGAGGACTTTGATGTTAGCTTCTGCGGCTTTTATAGCCTCGGTTTTGAACTGCGGCTTCAGTGCAGCCCGCACCACATTAGCGCAGATTGTGGAGAAGCGAATGTAGCTGCAGAGAGGACACACTTGTTAGTCGCATCCTAAAGGCAAGCAATACCAATGAGCAGTCTGGAAAAGACAACCACATCTGCTTTATTATCAGCAAACTGTATATCCGAACCGGTAACATAAAGAGTCACATCTTAGACTGTTATTTGCTAACATTAGCGCCATAAATAAAACGCATGGGTGGAAAAGCTAACAACCTTTAGCTAGTGTATAGCTGTGGTAAGGATTTGATAACAAAATGTCAATAACGCCTTTGTGCTAAACGCTTATTTAAATACCATAGTCAACACTCGCCAAAAAAACTAAGTCTGAAGATATATTTCTCACTTTTATTACCTTAGGCCTGCCTGTCTCCAGTACGCAACCATCTTGCCTGTGTTTTTGCTTCAAGGACAGGTCGTGCGTGATGACGTAAATTGACGTTCGTACGTTCTTCTTCTTCCTCTGGTGTTTATTGACGGTTTGCAAACCAAAATAAGGTGCATTATCGCCACCTGCTGGGCTGGCGTGTGTAACGATATCTGGTAAACACTTGTCCCATCCTTTCCGCACAGGTTGATCTGATTTATATTATACACTGTTATACAAGTTCCTCAGAATAATTTAAAATGCACTTGACAGTAGCACATTTCGCCACTGTGGCCGTTAGACTAGCATATAGCACGCGCAAGCACTGTGCAATGTATTCAATTTAAAAACAACAATGGATTGTTCTAGATGCTGGGGTGTAGTGCCTCCTTCTGTCAGCAGGGGAAGCTCTGTGCTCAGCTCAGGGTGAACGGTTTTTCGTCCCTCCATCCCTCGCTCCTTCTTCGTTGCCTTCACGCTGCTGAAC